GGAAGGAAGGAAGGAAGGAAGGAAGAAAGAAAGAAAGAAAGAAAGAAAGAAAGAAAGAAAGAAAGAAAGAAAGAAAGAAAGAAAGAAAGAAAGAAGAAACCAGAACTTTGCCCTAAATTACTTACTGGTCTACTAAAGAAATAGAATATTTTCACAAACAATATAAACATTTTGGGCATCTATGTTGTGGAATCTATTACAAAATGGAATACTTTTTTTTCATGATGCCACCAGTCACTATGTAGAATATTTCACATTAATGCCTAAAATTGCTGTAATTTGATCACATGATAAGGTCATCAGCAACCTTTGCAGTGTGCCAAGCAGGGAAACCATGGCACAGCAGTTGCCACTGCAATTGACAATTATCTTATTCATTTTAAATCTCAAGCCACATAAAGCAATCAGTATGTTATATTGTAAGACAACAAAAATAAGCCTATAATGGCTTTATCTGCACTTATAAGTTGACATTTCATAAATGGAAATGATGTGGTTGTCAAAATGACTTCTGAACGTTTGTGTTTAGACCTGTTGATTACTGGAACCATTACCTAGTCTATTGAGATAAATATTTTACAATTTTAATGATTAATGAAATACATTTGCATTTAGTTAAAACAGTCTGTAATCATTGACTTATGTGGCTATAGGGTGAATTATTGAAAGCATTTCTCCAAACTGGAACCAGTAGGGTACAGAGCAGAAGTTCGGACACATTTCTAAGATCTGGAACCAGGGAAAAGTATGGGGGAATAATTCGTTTCTCTTGCTTACCTGGAAATGAGTAACCAATGAAGAGGTTGCCTTGTTGATTTGGAGAATGACTGGAACTCTATTGATGATGTAATGGAATGCAGCCTGATGACACATATCGACAAATAATGGTGGCAAATGTAAAGAGGATGTAAATCCACCCTGAGGGAAGAACGCCGCTGATCCACGGACATTGATTCCATATGGCCTGAAGCTATGTCTGGCTTTGGGTACAGGCTGCTGGTATATATGGGAGGTGGGAAGTTGACTGAAAGCAGCACTCTGCTTCACCTGAGTTGAAGTTCATACTCTGGTGGATCACCTCAGAGATGCAGCTCACCTCAACATTTCCAAGCTCTGGTAAGTACCCATCCATCATGTACTTCTAAGACTTCCTTAGTCTATAATTCACAAGGCTGTTTGTACAGTACAATTTCTTTGATGCTATCTATTCTATATTTTTGGAAAATTGATACCTGGTCAGGTTTCTTCTATAGACAATGAACACGGAGCTGAAAGGCAACTCTCTATTCTACTTGCTCAATTAAGTTTCAGCTGAGAGTTTTCAAATAGGCTCTTCCTTGTGTTGCAGACACAAGGCAATGCTCAATTATTTTGTGATACCTTTCTTAACAGGAGGGTAAAATGAGACAGTGTTACTGATATTGAAACATCGTTAATTGTATAGCACGGTCCATTTCAAAAGGTACCTTCTAAAAGGAAAAGATAATGAAAATTTACATTACAGAGAATTAGGCTATATTGAGAACAACTGAGTAGTCCAATCACTTCAAGCATAGAAACAGGAAATTAAAATTACTTTGTATGCCAAACTGAATATCTGCTCACATAAAACAACCTGGATAAACTATCAAATAACCTAAGTCTGAAGTGATACATGAAAGGTAAATGAATTAGTTACAATAGTAAAGTATTTAAGAAAGTGAAACTCTCTAGAATCTCAAATAGATGCAGATGACTACTTGCAGTCTTGGCTCGTGGCTAGGCAAACTCCATGTGTTTGCAAACTTGAGGAGCTGTTTCGGGGGCAATGCAAACTGTGAAATGTCTCCCCCATTTCTAAGTCTCTATGGAAAACTTTTATCTATTTCTCTGCATTTTCCAAATTGTAAACGTGAATAGTCAGTTAAGATACATCAACCCAAATCACATAGCAGAGGCCATCGGGGCACATTCACAGCTTGTTTAGCTGTCTGCTACTTTGTATAGTTCCTCTCATTATTGTTTCTCTGACAGCCGGGATGTGCATGTTGCTGCTAGTCTCAAGTCTGCTCCTTTGGGAGCATGCAGCCTCCAAACCAACTGGCGTTGTGTCCACTGAAGACCTGTATGATCGTGTAGTTGAACAGTCTCACGTCACATATAACCTGGCTGCAGATATCTACTATGAATTTGTAAGTAATGTCCTTACTTCTGGATTCTTATCTAAAAGGGCCTTCAAATAGCTGACCACTAATTAAATTGGAATGACTCATGTGTCCAATTACAAATACTTCATTTTTGTAGGTAGTACAATGAATTATATAGGAAACTGTGTAATGGGAAGAATGTGAAGTTCCGTAAAAATCTCAAAAAAATTGTAAAGAATTTAATGATATTTCAAGTTTTCCTGCACTAACTTTAGCAATAATTACTTTAAACTTCTTCATTGGAATTTGGATTTCCTGGTCATATTTCCAGGGGTTCTGTTTTTGTGGGCATTCCTTACTTACTGATCTGAAGATAGGTAGTGTATGGAAAATGAAGTGAGCTAATTGTGTAGAGAGAAAACGAGATAAAGAAAATTAAAACCGTGCAAACAGTGAAAAGAAAAACAAAACAAAATAGCTACACATAAGCTCATAAATGCAAAGAATCATGGCCTGTTGTTTTCAGTAATGAGTTTCTTAGTGAAATTGAAGGACTGCTATGGAAACAAAATGTGTTCTCTCTTCTTCATTGATATAACTCAACTATTTGATTGTGCCATTGAGGAAACAGCAAAGCAAATTTTCATTTTAAACCATATGAATTTTCATTTTAAACCATATAAATTTCATTTAAATTTTTTATTTTTAATCCATTTAAATATGGATTACATATCTCAACGTTTATAGGGAATATATATTCCCATGGTTATTTTCTGTTACTAGTTTTTCTCATACCCTTTATTCTTCTCTCATAAATTTTCAAATTTCTAAGAACCCATTAACTCTCTGATAGATAGAATTAAGTAATTTGTATTTTCTTAAAAAATACCTTGTGCCAGCACATCCTTCATACCATTTATATAGAAACTTTAAATATTTTGTGAATTCTTACTTCAATCTTTGCTAAATATTTCCTTAAAATATGCCTAGAATTTAATGATTCATTATTGACTGTAACAATATGAGAGAACCCTACATTTTTCATGAACTTTTTTACAGTACTGACACATGATGATGTATGAGAGCAAATTTATAAATCAATAATTTCCTTTTAAAAAATAATAGACTTTTTTGCAGACAAAAACCAGATGTTTTAAATATGTGTAAACAATAATAATTCTATGACTCTCAGCCTGGAAAAACTGATACTTAAAGATGTAAAAATTTACAAATTTTGGTCCATTTTAGTGATTTCTTTCCAAGAAATGCCATTAGCAAGTACAATACAAGGAAAGTAAAGAAGGGAAGAGGATGGAGGGTAGTTAGTTTACAAATGTAAAGGAATAAAAGGTAACTGAATGACGTTTCCATCTTTCTAGTGTTCTACATTTTGCTCTTACGTATCAAAAATCTGCAGGTTATCAAACTATCATGTTGGTTTTTATTCAATTCTGAATTCCCAAAAGTTGAATATCTAATTTCTTCCAGGATTCAAACTTTTTCAAGAGTAGTTGGTTTCCTAAGAGGATGCCCAGGATATGCCACACCGCTTCCATCCATACTCCAGACTCTCGTCAGGAAGTCAATGAAACAAAAGTACGTTTCTTCTCTGATTTTTACCAAAACAGTCTTGCTATACACATGTTAATTGTGATCTGTGTGATTACTAAGCCCATAAAAGTTGTGATAATTTCAGACCGAATAGATAAAGGAAGATTCAGCTGTCAATGAAGAATCACAAAATACTTTTGTTAATGTTAGCACTCAGTAAGATGCCTGCCAACTCACATGGTCCCAGAGTTGCAATTGTCCACACAGGAAACTATTTTTACCAGCACCTTCTGCTTATCCCTGGAAAGTTTTGATCTGAACTGGACAAACATTTATAATATATTCATATAAATATGGAATAAATAAAATCCCCCTGTGTTTGTGATATAACCCTAAAGATCCTTCCTATGGCATCATGTGACTAAAGGAGCAGTGTGTCCTTTCTTCTCAAGTTCCTCAACTATCCTGGACCTTTTTCTCCTCCGTCATTATTTCTATCATCCTGCCTCACTGCTCTGCTTTCTCTTATATCTGAACTTAGGCTGTATAAGAGACTTCCTTGTAGGCTAAAGGTGTTCCTCTGGATGGCTTCTCTTTTGGTGAGATTTACATAACTCTGAAGAGCTAATGTGTATGTGTCTGATCTCTTCATTCAGACTATGTGTCATAAATATCAGTTTTATTTATGTAATTAATAATGTATATCCTTCTCATATATATAATCTATTATCCAGTTATGCTTATATTACCATCACAAGAAACCTTTACACAAGATATTCTCAGGAATAACATGTGGTTATAATACAGAAAAAGAAACTGAAGAAAACACTTGTACATATTACTTTCCTAGACAATATAAATAGCACACTGGTGGTACCAAAGTATTTCATGTTGACAGTCTCTGATAATAGAACCTTTAAGAAGGCAGCAATCTGGAGTTCCAAACAGTATGCAGAATTCATTTACACTATACTTCTTTCATGCCATGCAATCCTTCTTAATCATTTTTGTCTAATGCTCCTAGCACAATGTTGGTGATCAACGTTGATGTGTTCATTTTGTTCATAAACTTACTTTTCTCTGAGATTCTGGTTGAGTTACTCTCTAGTCTTTATTTTAATGCTCTATAATACTCCTCACAAACTTTATAATCAACAACTATCAAAAGAAATTATTTTGTATGACTGTGTCTGTGGCCTAAGATTTACCAGGTTAAAATTGCATTCTAAATTTTACTGATGCCTGATATTAAAGTAATGCTTTGTAATAAATTTTCTTTGATACATACCAATAAATAAGCAATTCCTTTAGAAACAAAGACAGCAGAATCATGCAGATAAATAAGAAATAGAATTTGAAAGCCATTTTTGTCTGCATTCACCTGTTTTAATATTCTACCATAATATATAAGTACTTAAATAATATATGAGAAACTAATTTTATTCATTATTGTAGAAATTAATTGAACCACTAACTCCTCACAGTGTTAGCATATATGTAACATGAGTCATGTCTTTGGACACCTACTAAGCTATGTAAACCTGGTTTTCTCATAGGCAGGCTAAGCCACCAAAGAGAACAGTTCTAACAGCTAGGGAAAAGTGTTGAATGTTGAGGAAACACAAAATATGATCATTTGAAATAGCCAAATTTATTAAAACCCTATTAGTTTTATTTAGCCAAGTGGAATTCAGTAGTTGTCATTTTATATTTATGCAATATTTATATATTATAAAATCATTAATATAGTATTAATAATAAAAGTATACTGTAGATTGTCTCTCGTGTGAAAAAAAAAAACAAGAATCTATCTACCGAGCTGTATGTTACCTAGTTTAATATTAAATCCAATGATGTTTGCTTAGACTGAAGACCTTCTGAAAGCAATCATCAACATCACTAATGCCTGGGAAGAACCGCTGAAACATCTGGTGTCGGCAGTGCCCTCTCTTCCAAAACCTTCTGATGATATGCTGAAAACAGTCAATGCTGTGAAGGCTAAAAGTCTTGTTCTTCTGGAGGGACTTAAAACCATTCTCAACAGGGTAAGGTGTTTCTACATTGTGTCTTTGTTTATTTTACTTATAAAATTTTTGTATTATGTCATTCAAAAAGGATTTGAACCCAAATACCAGGTTATCTAATAAGCCCATAGAACAGTGATCTGTGTAGAAAATAGTAGTGTACCTCGTAGAAATTTTGACAGTACCTTTCTTGAATAGGGTGGACACTCCGGTGTACTAATTCAGAAGATCTTATAGCTGTCACAGCCTACATAACCTGCACCATAATACATTAAATAAAATATTCTGCTCATGTGCAATATAGTATATAAATGTAGAATGCATTTACCTGAAAATAATGGAAGGATCAAGACTCTCTACCAGAACTAACATGGTATGAAGGGCACATCATGGAAAGTACTGTACATAAAACTTCCCGAAGTAAAAGAACTGATGCTAGCCTTTATATTGTAGTTTAGTTAATTTCATGTACCCAGCAATAGTACCTTGCTGGTTCACTATTTGTCCACTCGTGTGTGAATGTGTCTCATCTGAAATCAGTTGAGTGTCAGAAAGTACATATGCTTGCTTCAATTTATGTTTAGGTATCTAATGACTTTACCTTAATTTCCAGCATTTTTCACTATTAATGTATAGTCCCCTATGTTCTACCAGGGTTAATTAAATATTTATGAGAAAGGTGCACTGGGAGATACATCATGTTTGTGAGTGCCTTCCTTCCATGTGTGAGGACCTGAATTTACTTTCAGAATTTGTGTCACATGTGTGATGTGGTATCTTCACTTTGTAGCCCACAGACTAGGGAATCAGATCTAAAGGGGTCTGCCATGAATTGCTGGTAAAAGCAGCTCTCTTAAAAAAATCAATGTAGATGTCACTGGAAGAATTTTACCCAAAATATTTCACACACACACACACACACACACACACACACACACACACACAGAGCATATAGATACAGAAAGGGATAAAAGATAATGTTAATAATACCTGTCCATTTGATTTTTAGACCAAGACTGTATATGAAGAAACTGACTCCCCTGTCTGGTCTGGACTGTCAGACTTAAAGTCAGCTGATGAAGACACTCAACTTTTTGCCTTTTATAGCCTTGTCCGCTGCCTGAGACGGGATACTCATAAGATCGACACTTTTCTCAAGGTCTTGAGGTGCCGAGTTGTCTTTAATAATGAGTGTTTGTTTTAAGAAGTGCAAAGTGCACGTCCCTGCAATGTTCTGTTAACAGGGTCCTTGTTGAAGCAGAACTTTAATTCTTTTTTTTTTCTTGTCAATGCATGCATGCATATAATGGATTTCTTCTTATAAAATAAAATCTAAGCATTTATAAACAGCAAATTCAGTGTGAAATTTTAAGAAAGTCTCCTGTTTCCATTTAATATAATATATACCCAGGCTTTTGTGATGTGCATGTAAAAATCGGAAGTTTGGCAAGCATTCAAGATGCCATAAAACTTATTTAAGTTCACAGTGAATGAAGAGAGATCATTTTTGCAAAATCAAAGCAAGAGATTGTTGCTACTCATAAGATCCTTTGTATCAACGGGATGGATATCCGAGGTAGTTTATAAAAGCAAATTTTTAGTCCAATAACAACAATGCAGGTTAAATAATGTTGGACTATCTATAAGCATCATTAATCCAAATGTTCAAAAATGTAATAGAAAAGAAGTATGAAACAGATCTATATTTCTCTAGTGTCTTCCTGCCTCTTGATCATCCATTAGGCCATCTTAGGAAAGAAGCAAAATTTTACTTTTCTCTAGCTTAGAATCTAAGACCATTTTAATACTTTAAAAGTGGAAATAGAAAACAAACATTTCCCAGTTATTTAGACATAGTTCAGCAGACCAGAAGACTTGGTAGCATGTCTCTCAGTGGTGACATTCTAGCTGAAGTCTGAGTTTTTCAGGTAAAATTAAGAGAAAACATAAGTGATATATAAGATAAACAAATGGAAAGCAGAGAATATGTTTGAGAACACCAGAGTGTCTATGTAGTCTACTGCTTCTAGGGTATTCAACTTATAAGCTTACATTCAAATAAATTGTTCTAGCATAGGGAGAATAGTAGAAACCATATTAAAACAGAAAATGTGGTAAAAGAATGATCTCATGGATCAATAAATCACATGATGAACACTAAAGGTACATTTTGAGAAAAAAATAATTGGCTTTTTTATGAGATTTTTTTCTGAAATAGTGATGGTTAAATAAAAAAAATATTATACTAAGATTAGTATAATACTTAATACACTCATAAAAATGATTCGAACAAGTTTAGTGGTTAATGAAGATGAGACTAGGAAAGCAGAGTTTCAAGATGCTGATGAGTTAGAACTGGAAAACTGAAAGCATGATGGAACAATGACAAAATGGAGGACAGCACATCTAACAATTCTTCTAGAATATTGTATAATATAACTCTTTTGCTGATTTTGAACAAAACTCTGAGATCTTCACATATACATCACTTTATAAATTATGTCATCTAAGTGGATCCGAGGTATCTCCTATGACCCTGTGATATTCACATTACCCTAGACTATTTGCAAAGAAAAGCCTGGCGAAGCTTAATTGTGATACAGGATGCATAATTTCAGCTTGAAAAATACAGGGCAGAGAACCCTGATTGCTTTTTGGGCTGACGAGGGAGGGGGACTTGATTGGGGGAGGGGAGGGATAGGGGAGGCGGCGGTGGGGAAGAGACAGAAATCTTTAATAAATAAATAAATAAATAAATTAAAAAATTCATGGCTATATGATAAAAACAATGGTTATCAATGTAGATATAGAAGGCAATATATGAACAGAAAGAAATACTTTAGATATGGAAAATTAAAAAAAAGTATGCAGTATTAAAGTTTTTACTTGTGTGAAGTTGTTAGACAAGTACTGAATCCAGACAAAAATTGAGGTATCCTGAAGTTGTTACAGAAGAAACTCAGTGTCAGCTTGACAAAAAAAGAAAGAAACAGGATAGCAGGAACATTGACCACCCTAACTCTGGTATAAATGAAGCAGAAGATTAAAAGAGACCAAAAAAAGTGAAGACTAGGATAACTGAATGATGGAAAACCTAGAAGAGAGTGAGGTAAATACACTCGTGTAAATATTCATGAACTTTCTTTTCCTATATTTTATTGAGTTTTTTTTTGCCAGAAATTACTAAAATAGTCTTACGTTTATAAATAATAAGCCAACATACACATAGGGCTCTACTATTGACTCACTTGAGCAATGACTTCAGTGATAGGGTTTAATTATGCAGGATTCCCCTCTGTGTGCTGTGAATATGTTTTATTACCATAAAATTTACCCATAAGCCACCACCTTGTGGCGATACAGAGAATAATAGGAATGGGTTTATTTAAGATGCATGCTGTTATCCAATTTGAGCAGCATAAGATTTTGAAGGTGGTGTGTTTCCTCCAGTGTATCTTTTTTGTTCTTTGTAAACATCATGTGTCTGTAAACATGTAGATTTATGCTTCAGTCTTCAGTTCTAATCCATTGATAAACACGTCTGCTTTATTGTCAACATTCTCCTAATATTGTGACTATATCATTGTAGTACAGCTAAAATTCAGGAATAGTGATGACTTCAAGAATTCTTTTATTGTTCAGGATTGTTTCAGCTATAATTGTTTGTTTGTTCATTTTCAAATGAAGTTTGAGATCTTTTTTCAATTTCTGGGAAGAATTTTACAGGGATTTTGATGGAGATTGCATTGAGTCTAGAATTCAAAAAAACAGATATTTACATATTATTAATCCTACCAATCATGAAATTCTTTCTATTTTCTCATGCCTTCTTCATTTTTTTTTAATTTGGCATCCTAAACTTACTATTATAAAAGTCTTTCAATTGATTAATTAGACTTATTCTGAGATTGTTTGGGGACTATTGTGAAAGAAATTGCTTCCTTGTTTTCTGGTTTGGTATGTTTGTCACTTTTATACTGGAAGACTACTGATTTTTGAATTTTAATTTTCTATCTTTATACTTTTCTGAGTCTGTCAGCTATAAACATTTCTGGTTGCATCCTCAGAGTTTCTTATATACAAATCTATATCATCTGCAAGTTAAGGATACTTTGACTTCTCCCTCTCTTATTTGTATCACTCCAATCTCCTTCTGTTATTTTATTGATCAATCTAAGACTTTATATATGATTTTGAACCAGTATTGGCATCTTTGTCTGGCTTCTAATTTTAGTGGAAAAGCATTGAGCTGCTTTCTGTTTGTAACTATGTTGCTGTGATTTTATTTATTTATATTGACATATGTTTTGTGTATCCCTCATCTATGAGTTTTTATCTTAAATGGAATTTGGACTATAAGAGCATATCAAGGCGATATATAAGCAGGGTAAAAAGAATGAGGTATTTGAGGACAAGGGGATAGAGAAGGAAATAAAGATAGAGATAATTAACTACAAATGCCCTTTGAAAAGTCATCTGTAAACTTACTACCACATAAGCATTCTCAAATTTATACTTATATTAAAGAAGCTTAAATGAAGGGGAAAATACCCCAACTAGATATTATTCTACCATATAAGAAATGTCATTATTAGAAATGCCATATAATTTTGAGTTATTGGCCAAAGGATTCCCATAGACCATCCAAATATTGTAGGATAATTATCGTTGCTATTAAATACCTACACAGTCTGTTGTAAGACTCTGGTCCTTAAGATAGCATATATTTACATCATAGCACATGTGGAATTCTAGTTGGTATACAAGTGAAAGCCTCACCTGCATGTGTTATATCTATAATGCTTGCAAGTGTTATCCATGCCACCAGAGGAAAAAAAGGAATCATCAACCTCATTCAACTATAAACCCAGTGAATCAAAATAACAACCTGTTTCTAAAACATGTCTTCTTGTGAAAATATGGAGAAAAATGTATTGTAAGTAACCTACTACATTTTCTTTGCACTTATGCCCTACTCCATAAGCTAAAACTCATATCTGCCAGGAACCTAAGAATAGATTGGTCATGGGCACAAGGGACAAACATACCTTAATTATTCTTCCAAGGAAACATAGCAATAAAATGGCTACTAATGACACATTGCTATACTCATACATCTGTGTGTCACAAACTTCTGTAGAGAAGCTTCTTGCTATAGTAGATAGTAATTAACATGAAAATCTACATCCGGATTTTGAACATATTGTGACATATCTTGGAATTTTAAGCTCTAAGTGGGATACTTATATCAAACTACTCCCATAAGGATTTAGATTTATGCAGAAGAGGGAACAGAAATAATGTAATAGTCAAAGGAATCAAATTATTCTAAACACAGAATGGAAAATAGACCTCTGAAATTACAGAGACTCTCTAAGAGCAATACCTATAGATAAAACCAGACAAAATTTTAGGACAGAGGAGGGGAATTGGGCTCAAATGTACCATACTTAGCTAAGAACATATTTGATAATCAAAATGGATGGATGCCAAGAGAGTGAAAAACAATTTTCTTCAAGAGAGTGACACATAATATATCAACATTCTTCAGGCCAGTGTCCATGTTTAGGAGGAGCTGGCCAATACAAATCAAATGGCATGTATTTTGTAATTTTTTCCATACTTTATTATTTTTCCTCATCATAATTTTCTTATTAATTACCTGGAAATTTCATACAGTGCAAACCAATCGTACTTACTTCTCATTCCACTGAGGTACACTCTTCCACCCTTATAACCCCCTTCCAAAAAAAAAAAAAGAACAAGAAATACACCAAGTTACAATTTGTGTGCTAATCATTTACTCACGGGTGCATGGTCACAGTTCCAGCAGCCAAGCCCTTGAAGATATTGGAGTCCTTCCCCACACACTGGCCAGAAGTCATTAACTGTAACAAGAGCTTTCTCTTTGCCCACCTGTTTCCAAGTAACCACTCTGAGTCTTACTATTAATTACAAACTGTTTGGCATATTAGCTTATTATTAGCTAGCTCTTACAACTTAAATTATCCTATTTGTATTATTCTATATTTTACCACAAGGCATGGGGTTTGTTACCTCACATCTTGCTTCTTGGGCAGTTGCTGGCATCTACCTGACTTTATCTTATTTCACCCTGTCTCTCTGTTTGAATTTCCTGCCAGGCTCTATTCTGACTGGCTATTGGCCAAATCAGCTTCTTTATTAACCTAATGATGATAAGACATGTCAACACCATACAGAACACATTCTACATCAATCAACTGAGAAGAGCAAAACCTCAGCATCTTTATCACAATCTTCAGTGACTCACTTCAACATCCTCTTGTCTGAGCTGTTTCCCATTTTCTTCAGGGTGGTGTCACTG